GTACAATTTAGCTCGCTTCCTAGGTCCCCTTGAAATATCCCTTTTGAAATTAAGTACTCGAAAAATTGTATACTCAGAAACTTATGTAAAATTTCAAAGTAAACTATTTTATACATTTCAAAAGATTTATCAAAATTTTAAGGCACATTGGCTTTTTATATATGCGCACAAGTGGAAAAATTAATTTAATTTACTTGCGACAAAATCAAAATTTTTTCTTACAAATTAATTTTTTCGCATTGTTCCTACTTTAAGCCCATGACGTTCAAACTGAAAAAAAGGAGAAAGAGCATGTGAAATGAACAAGAAAAAAGTACGTTTCACTGGCTGACGTTTTTAAGTAAATTTGAAGTTTATTTTTATTTACCGAAATAGGGGAAATAAAAATAAATCAAGTTGAAGTTTGGTTCTCATGAGAGCAACATCAAAATGGCTTCTACCTGTTTTTATGTACCTTGCGTCCATGGTACAATAATTATAGGTATTGTCTTCTCAGAGAGTTTTGCTTCACATCGAAATTCGTGCTCCCTTATTTTCATTTTGACGCAGTTCAATGTTGATTCTTTTACTTTTATTTGGCTTTGATTTTCGGTTTCGATCAATTTAATTTTTATAATTTTTCAAAACAAAAGAAAACACGTTTGAAATGAAATGAGCCATACAAATTTTGAATTTATTTACAAGCAAATGTTTTTTTGTTCCGGCTTTTGCAAATTAAATAAGTTCTCTGCAAGATGGTTTGTTTAAAAAAATATGTGAATATATATGGTATATGGGGTATGGAAATATCCCTTTTCCCTAGCAGTAAACGTTTTAGTGTGGGCAACAATGTTATTTTTTAAATAAGGCAGATCGGAATGTGCGCTCTCTGGGAAGACAATTCCTGTTATTATTGTACCATGGTTTTTCACTATATAGTACAGGAAAATCCATATTTATACGGTTTATACCCGAGCGCGATTGTGCGCAAGCGTATTATAACTTGGTTCGTGTAACGGTTTTGTAAAAGCCAAAATGAATCGAGATAGATGTAGACATGGATATATACTTAAATGCTCAGAATGAAAAGATAAATCAATTAAGACATGTATGTCCGGCAATCCGTCCGTGTAAACGATAACTCGAGAAAAAATTGAGATATGTCACCTCAATTTGGTAAGTGGATTGCGCTTTATCCAAGGTAGGTTGGTATTGAAAATGGGAAAATTCGGGCATTTACCACGTCCACCTCCCGTATAACGGTATTTTCGAAAATGCGAAAACTTCGATATTTTCGCAAATGCTGGATCCAAATTGTTGAAAGTTGGTATATGAAGTAGAATTTTGGAAAATGGGTGTGGCACCGCCCTTTACCCATCCCCACCAAACTCGTTGCTAATATTGCTTACACTGGAAATAAAATCTGCCTTAATATAACGAAAACTTGCGTACATCTTACGAAATTTTTCGTCATTTTGAGCCACGAAAGTTTTAGTTGATTATACAAAACCTTTTTCGTACATACCACATTGGCCGGAATTAAAATTTTTTTGACATTTTAAAACTTTGTACATACATATGTTCTTCATGCTAATTGCAAGTTACGGTTAAACTTTTGTGCCGATCAGATAACCCTAATCCCGTCCGAGGCAACGTGTTAAAATGAGTTTACAAATTTTTGTTTTGTATCTCCGAATTATGAAAAAGCATCTCTGAGGTGCAGAACATAAACGTTGTCAAATGAAAATATCGCCAACCAAAAGTTTGGTTAATGTAAACAAAATTGTGGTTAATATTACCAAATCATTGTTGAAAATATCAACCAAGGCTTTGTTACATTCACACTGATTCCTTTTCGAGTTTGAATTTGGTAATATTAACAATTTTCGATTGATTTTTCTCTCAGTGTATACTTTATTTTTAGGAGAGGGGCCTGTGCATGCCAATCCAACATTTGAGCTCCAATATTCTAATTTGGCTCTTTCACGCTTAAAACAAATGCGATAACGGAAGCATTGCCTCGAAATTAAGCTCCGCGCAAGAGCAAACATCCTGAAATTGTTTTGTTAAATATGTTATAGTACTTTCCTTCGTCGGCTTCGTCAGAAATCTTCTGATCCTGTTTTCATGTGGGCTAGAAACCTTTCTAAGAAAAGTTGATAATTTATTTGATTACTTCATTCTACGGCTTTATCAACTTATGTACGTACTTACGAACATCTTCGACTTCTTGCAATATTTGTCCCCTTTTGAGTTGGAACAGTGGAACTTGGCCTCAAATTTCGTTTGGTATACGAACCTCATTTTATTAGAACTTTAGACGCTTTGGCAATTTTTCACAAAGCTAGCGAATTTCGCAAAGCGTATTGTACAATGTCTACCTACATACATACATAGATGCATTGCACATTTTTGGTAACGGCACTATACTACATACATATGTATGTTTAAATCTTGTTGCAAACTTTCTATTGGAGCAGTGATGTAAAAGGTAGCAACAGAAAGCTGCAAGATTTCAACCAAGGAGCCGTAAATTCTTGTGTCTCACAACGTTCTCTGTTTTTGTAGATTGTAGGGGAAACGGTTACGCATACGCCATGGTGTAGTTAATACAGTTAGCGCGCGTTCACCTGGCCTGTAGTCAGCACAGTGCGTTTGCCACGGATTAAGTAATGCAAAAATCAGCCCACACACACACACACATATGTATGTATGTATGTACGTGCATTAATTGAATTTTTCAAATGTGCCAATTATTGGAGTAATTTTTGTAAATTCACGACCATACATACATACATAAGTGTATGTACGCATGGATTACGGAAGTACTGCCGCTAGAGAAATTCTCTTCTTAGACTACCGTGTGTGTGTATATGTATATGTTCGCTTGTGCAATAGGATTTTCAGCCGCTTGTCTTGCCAGCGGCAATGATTGTTGACAAGTGTTAATGGCTTATGGCACCAGTGTAAGCACACAAATGTGGTTGCTCAGCATATCCATACGTCAACAACGGTGTGTGGTGTGACAAATTTGATTATGCCTTAATACCAGGCAAATCATTCACACATACATACATACACACGAGGCGACAACAAAGCCAAAATGAGAATACAAGCCATAAAGTTGTCTCGAACCACTTCGCATATGCGACATTTCGCACGTGTGATTGGAATTACTCGCACACACACACACACACACACACACGGATGCAGGCGAAGCTGATGGTTTTAACGATTTTCACATAATGCATTAATTTACGTCGTTGTGAACGTAAATATGTCTGCTTGTTGTTCTGCATTGCAAGGCAATTGTCGTTAGCTCGGCATCTGCAATTCATGCAATGTTTATTCAGAATCAATAACAAAAACACCGACTAATAGAAGCATAACCAAGATGGAAAGAAAATACCCCGGCTGACGGCTGTGAAATTTTTACATATTCTGAAATACATTCACGTCGGTTTGAAGGTTAAATACTACAGTAACAAAGGGAATTTGGTAAACGGACATGCATACATAAATGTATCTTAAAGCTTTATATTCTTATCTTGTTTTTATTTGCATTTCAGTTGAAATAAATAAAATTCACAATTTTATATTAATCCACTTTAACCAGTCTGAATTAGGTTAGGTTAATACGCACATTATTTAGTATGTATCATGATTGATTAAATGTGGGTATGATTAGCTGTCTTATATATCATTTTGAATTGTTCGATCTTCATCACATTTGGAGGAAGTGAGTGAATGATTCTATGCTTCTGTTTCAACTCCATAAGTTCCCATGGCTTTTGCAACTCATACATTCAGTGTCTACCATTAGCGCACACAAGGGGTGGATTTGGGGTTCAAACCCCCCCTAAAGCTAATAACCTCAAATACAATCTGTATCTTAAAGCTAAGAATCCAGCTCTCAAGGAAATTATAAGAAATATTTATTATAATTTCTGTTGCTTGAAAAAGCGCTTTGCTTTTGCTGTAAATTTTCATGAGGGAATAAATATACGAGGATTTTTTTTTCTTGAGAGCTGCAAACTGATTTAAGAAATTTTGGTAGGAGAAAATTTCTTTTCTATTTCTCGTCTGTCGTTTTATATGAATTTTTCGTTTTTCTTGGGAGTTCAGTTAATTTTTTCGGTATTTGAAATATTAAAAAAATTTAGCAATCGTGAAAAATCACCATCTCTATCGAAAACCAGAAATCGAAAGAATGAACGTAGAAGTGCAAAAATTCATGGAATCAATAAATTTAATTTTACTGACTCTTTTTTAAAATTTTTTATTAGGTACTTTTGAAAGTTGAGCGCATCTTGAGTTTATAGTACTTTTTATTAAGCAAGTAGTTTTTAAGGAAAGAACACAACCGACTTCAATTCCCATATTCAAATTTAGGGGTACCGTTAATTTCTTCATGATCCAATCATCGGATCTCTAAAACAAATTACGGGACGACCTTGAGGTACTATCTTTCTAATAAAAAAAGGATTATTGAAAACGGTTCACTTGGTCCAAAGTTATGTATTCCGGCGAGATGATATCCTCCCTTTTTTTGAAGTCGGTTAAAAGCGTTTGAGTTCTGTTAATCTGTAAATAAAGTGCAGTTTATGAATTTTAAAACGTTTATTTATTTATTACATACTGTAGATAAAACTTGCATAAATGTATTTTAAAGAGGGTATTATCTGAAGCAAATTTTCAGTATTTTCCGGTGATATATCTTCAGAAATATAAAACCCCCCTAAAATATATTCCTGGGTGCGCCCCTGGTGTCTACATACATTAATAGTATGTCAAAGTGGCCGTGTCTTGAAATACGGTTGCAATATTTTTTTGTTTCAATATAATGAGATTAGTTGCTTTTCAGAATTCCCTTAATCGCGTCTAACGCCACCGCATCAGACTTTCGGCACGCATAAATCAAATGTGAAAGCAACCAGAGGGAGCGTTTAAAAATATGTTTTATATCCTTCCCTTCATCCCTCCATATTTTGATTGTTGTATTCTTGCCCTTTGCCTTCCAGAATCCCGGTTATGCTGGCCGTAAAGAGCTGCCTGAAAATTTAAAAATACAATTTCGCACTGTTGCTATGATGGTGCCAGACAGACAAATAATTATACGCGTCAAATTGGCGTCCTGTGGCTTTTTGGAAAATATCACTTTGGCGCGCAAATTCTATACACTTTACAAATTGTGCGAGGAGCAGCTGACCAAGCAAGTGCACTATGATTTCGGCTTGCGGAATATACTATCGGTGCTCCGTACGCTAGGCGCCGCTAAGCGAAGGAACTCAAAGGATGGCGAGAGTACGATTGTGATGCGGGTCCTGCGCGATATGAACCTCTCGAAGCTGATCGACGAAGACGAACCACTATTCATGTCGCTGGTGTCGGATTTGTTTCCCAATCAGGTGAGCAACTAACAAGTTAATCCCTAATACGTTCTAGGTATATTTTTTCAAATTGCATTGGTAAGACGCTCGAAAAGACCAATTATCCAGAGCTGGAGGCAGCAATTGCACAGCAAACTGAAGAGGCGAATTTGGTTTACCATCCTCCATGGGTTCTTAAGCTAATACAACTCTACGAGACTCAAACTGTCCGACATGGCATCATGACTTTGGGTCCGAGTGGCGCCGGTAAGACCACTTGCATCCACACTCTAATGAAGGCGCTCACCCAAATGGGCGATAATCATCGCGAGATGCGCATGAATCCCAAGGCTATAACGGCTGCACAAATGTTTGGACGCTTGGACGTGGCTACCAACGATTGGACTGACGGCATATTCTCGGCGCTATGGCGGAAGACGCTGAAGCTGAAAAGTGGCGAGCATGTTTGGCTCGTACTGGACGGACCGGTCGACAGCATTTGGATTGAGAATCTGAATTCAGTGCTTGATGATAACAAAACATTGACCTTGGCGAATGGAGATCGTCTGACAATGGCGCCAACCGTGAAAATCATATTCGAGCCTCACAACATAGACAACGCTTCGCCAGCAACGGTGTCACGCAACGGTATGGTCTATATGAGTTCCTCTGGATTGGATTCGAGACCGAGTAAGTCATTAAAGAAAAGTATATTAAAATTATGTCTCTTTTATTAATGTGCGCTTTGAGTAGTTGTACAAGCTTGGCTAAAAAACCGTGCGCCCGGTGAGAAGTCCGTGTTCTGGAATCTCTTTGAGCAGACATTCGTGCAGGTCTACAATTGGGGCACGCAAAACCTCAAGTTGCTGATGTCGGTGCTGCAGTGCAATATAGTCGGCCAGATGCTATCGATTCTGGAGGGTTTGGTGCCGGTTAAGAAGGAGGAAGAGCAGGCCGTTAGTATGTCGAGTAAAGAAACTACCGACGGTAAGTCAGTTAGGAGAGTGTGGGCCTCGTGTTTTCTAACAACAAACTGTATGCGTTTTTATGTGAGTAAATTCGTTTTATACTTCGTCAAAGCTTTTGATGAAGTGCTGAGTGTTAGTTTCGACTCGGTGTGTGGTTCATGTTATGTACGTAGATACAAGGCGCACAATACAAACTATGCATGAGCCAAGATACATATCCAATACTTTTGTATGACATTAAGTTTTGTAAAAAAAAAACATATTGCAGCAGCAAGACTGGATAGAGACAAAATCTTAAGAAAAAGGAATGATGTAGTCGTAAAAGAGCAGCGTCGCAACTCCGCCAACAGCGGAGATGGCGGTAAGGCATCTCAAAGCAATCACATACTCCACTAACATATCTTTAAGCAGAAACCCACACACACTTGCACTTACTCACTTTAGGAAACCTGACAGTCCACACTTTTGTCACCCACCACATCTTTTCTCTCGTATGCCTGCAATCTCCTGTTCTACCTACAAGTCGGTCGACAATCAATTTCGTCAGTGTTTTCACGTGTGTCCAGTGTGCTGTCAAAACTTTAAAATCGCTTTTCGCTAGATTTCTTCAGCACCTGGAACTAAAAACATGACGTTTAAATAAACACTCTCACCAAAACTCTCAGGTATCCTTTTGAACACTTTAAAACACTTTGTATGTACTCCCTCCACGATCTTCAAATCTATAGTGAGCCCGTTATGTTCAATTTTGTACCTGTTTTGCATAAGTTTTGTTGCGCCAGTGTGTATGTATGCATTTGGGTGTGGTAATTTGTTTTGTTGTTTTACTAAAATACCAAATAATACTTACTTCTATGTATTTAGCAAAGTACTTGCGGCGCGCCGCTTTCTTTCTCTTGGTCCAACTAACCGTTTTACTATCTAACTATTTGCTTGCTCAGTACATTGCCAAAGTGTCTGCTGAAAGGCTTCCATTTTCACTATTTATATACATTTTCAACTTGCACAGATGAGCTTCCCGAGGAGCCAGTTGTTGAGGAGAAAGAAGATACTTGCACACCCGAGCACCTGCAGCGTTTATATATCTTCGCGTTGGCTTGGGGCCTCGGTGGATATCTCAGCGCCGCCGATCGCAAACGGCTAGACCTATACGTCAAAGAAGCCTTCCCTCAGCTGGACTACGCGCAGGGCACGCCTAATGAAAATAGTATTTTTGATTTCTTCGTTTCCGAAACGGGCACCTGGCAGGCATGGAAGACACTGGTCACTCCTTATATGTATCCTGAACTATCTACGCCGGATTTCCTGAATATACTGGTGCCTATTGTTGACAATGTACGCATGGATTACCTAATTGCTACCATAGCCAATCAGGAACGTGCCGTTATGTTGATCGGCGAACAGGGTACCGGCAAAACTGTAATAATGAAGAATTTTATGAGGAAGATGAACCCCGAGTCGTACATGGGGCGTTCCTTTAATTTTTCTTCCGCTACGAGCCCCTACCAATTTCAGCGCACAATCGAGAGCTATGTGGAGAAACGAGTGGGCGTTACTTTTGGTCCACCGGGCGGTCGTAAGTTGATCGTGTTTATCGATGATGTCAACCTGCCGGAGATCAATGAGTGGGGCGATCAAGTGACGAACGAGATCGTGCGCCAGACCATGGACATGAAAGGCTTTTACAGCTTGGAGAAGCCGGGCGACTTTACAACAGTTGTGGACGTCCAGTATGTTGCGGCGATGGGTCTGCCCGGCGGAGGGCGTAATGATATACCTTCGCGCTTGAAACGGCAGTTTTGTGTTTTTAATTGTAATATTCCCGATGACGAATCAATTGACAAAATATTCCGCGTGATTGGTGAAGGTCATTACAATGCCAAGCGAGGGTTTGCCCCAGAGGTGCGCAGTTTAGTGAAGAAGCTGATTGTTGTGACTCGCCACTTGTGGCAGTGTACGCGCGAAAAGCTGTTGCCCACACCCGCAAAATTCCATTATGTTTTCAGTTTGCGCGACCTTTCGCGTATCTGGCAAGGCATGGTGGGCACTTTGTCCACTGTTATAACGGCGGATAGTGTGCTCATGTCGTTGTGGAAGCACGAATGCACACGCGTGTTTGCGGACCGTTTTACGACGTTTCAGGATAAGGAGTGGTTCAGTTCGGAGTTGGCTTGTCTGGTGCGTGAGGAGCTTGGCGAGGCCTATTCCCAGATGATTATATCGAACCCGGTGTTTGTCGATTTCATGCGTGATGCACCTGAGCCGACGGGTGAGGAGGGAGAAGATGCTGATATGGAGTTGCCGAAGGTCTACGAACCGGTGAATTCTCATGAAGTGCTCCGGGAGCGTCTCGTTATGTTCCTCGCACAATTCAATGAAATGGTACGAGGCTCTGGGATGGATCTGGTCTTCTTCCCAGATGCAATGTTGCATTTGGTGAAGATTTCTCGAATCATTCGGCATCCGAGGGGAAATGTCATGCTTGTCGGGGTCGGTGGATCGGGTAAACAATCATTGACAAAATTGGCATCATTCATAGCTGGCTACAAGACATTCCAAATTGCTTTGACGCGTTCGTACAATGTGGCCAACTTCTTGGAGGACTTGAAATTGTTATATCGCACCTGTGGTGTCCAAGGCAAAGGCACAACGTTCCTCTTCACCGACATGGACATTAAAGAAGAGGGCTTCCTTGAATATCTGAATAATATATTGTCATCGGGTGTGATATCAAACCTATTCTCGCGAGACGAACAGGCCGAAATCGTACAAGAATTAACTCCGGTAATGAAACGAGAGAATCAGCGAAAAACAGCGACCCCGGAAAGTGTGATGGAGTTTTTCTTGGCCCGCACTTGCGCCAACCTGCATGTTGCTTTTTGTTTCTCGCCGGTCGGTGAGACTTTCCGATCGAGGGTGCAACGTTTTCCGGCACTAGTGTCCGGCTGCACTATCGATTGGTTCCAGCCGTGGCCAAAGGATGCACTCGTCTCGGTGGCAAGACACTTTCTGAGTGACTTTGAAATTGAGTGTACACCGGCCGTGAAGGAAGAGTTGGTGAACGCGCTCGGCTCAATACAGGACATAGTGGCCGAGACATCGTTGGAGTATTTTCAACGTTTTAGACGGGCTACGCACGTAACACCGAAGTCCTATTTGAATTTCATTGCTGGCTACAAAAATATCTACCAGCAAAAGCAGAAAGAGTTGAGTGACGGCGTGGAAAAGATGGACACCGGGTTGGAGAAGTTAAAAGAAGCATCTGCCTCCGTAGAAATACTGAAAAAGGACTTGGTCGTTATGGAGGAGGAGCTAGTGGAGGCCTCGAAGAACGCCGAATCAGTATTGGTGGAAGTAACCGAAAGAGCAATGCAGGCGGAAATTGTAAAAAATCAAGTTTTGATTGTGAAAGACAAAGCTGAGGCGTTAGTAGCCTGTATTGCACACGAAAAGGCACTTGCTGAGGAAAAGTTGGAGGCAGCCAAGCCGGCGCTGGAAGAGGCCGAAATGGCGCTAAATACCATCAAGCCAGCGCATATTGCAACGGTGCGCAAGTTGGGCCGACCACCACATCTGATTATGCGAATTATGGATTGCGTTTTGATTTTATTCAAACGAAAGTTACATCCCTGCATACCTGATTCTGGAACACCTTGTCCGAAGCCATCCTGGCAGGAATCGTTAAAGGTAAATGCCCATAGAGCTGTAGTAATCCGACATTGATATGCAGTAAGCAGTAAGTATGTTTCAGATGATGGCAAGTGCCACGTTTTTGCTACAACTACAAAACTATCCGAAGGACACAATAAACGATGAAATGATCGACCTGTTGCAACCATACTTTCGCATGGAAGACTACAACATGGACATGGCGAGACGTGTATGTGGCGACGTAGCTGGATTGTTGTCCTGGACAAAAGCTATGGGCTTCTTCCACAGCGTGAATAAGGAAGTATTGCCACTGAAGGCCAATCTGACAATGCAGGAGGCGCGCTTGAAGGTAAAAATGCGGCTGCTCAGAGCTCTCGCAGTAGTTTACCGCAATCGCTTTAGAGTAGTGCACAGTCAAAGGTAATATGAGAAATCCGATAACTGCTCAGTTATCCAGCCGCATTTACGGTGTGAATTGTTTTAATTTTTATTTTAACATATAAGTAATTTTTTCGTTTTTTTTTTTTTACTTTGGAGTTAGCAACGTTTCATATACAGCCAAAGCTTTTTAGCCGAGTAGAATTGCTTTGTTTCCGGGCGAGAATTTCTAATTAGCTAACTCATTCATATGCATATTCATGTACCTTTCTTCCTTCTGCACCGCAACATGCAGCTAGCCATGGATGATCTAGCTGGCGCTGAAGAGCAATTGCGTGAGCGTGAGGAGGCACTACAGGCTGTTAAAGACCAATATGACAAGGCTGTCGGTGAAAAACAACGACTCACTGATGCCGCCAACGTATGTTTGCGGAAAATGACTGCAGCCACAGCTCTAATAAATGGACTCTCGGATGAAAAGCATCGCTGGACCAATCAGAGCAAAGAGTTTAAGATACAGCTGGGCAAATTAGTTGGTGATGTTTTATTGGCGACAGGCTTTCTATCGTACTGCGGCCCCTATAATCAGGAATTCCGTGCGAATTTGATAAAAACCTGGATGGGAATTCTAAAGCACAAAAATATACCATTCACAACAGGCTTGAACATCATCAATATGCTTGTCGATTCGTCCACGGTGTCGGAGTGGACATTGCAGGGCCTGCCAAATGACGAATTGTCGGTGCAGAATGCCTTGATTGCCACCAAATCGAGCAGCTATCCTCTGCTAGTGGATCCGCAGACACAGGGCAAACTGTGGATTAAGTCCAAGGAAGGCGACAATGAACTGCAGATCACATCCTTAAATCATAAGTATTTCCGAACACATTTAGAAGACTCGCTGTCGCTTGGACGACCGTTGCTGATTGAGGACGTCGGCACCGAGCTGGATCCAGTGCTCGACAATGTGTTGGAGAAGAACTTCATCAAGTCGGGTAGTATAGAGAAGGTCTTGGTGGGCGACAAGGAGTGCGATGTAATGCCGGGATTTATGCTATACATAACCACTAAATTACCAAACCCGGCCTTTAGTCCGGAGATCAGCGCCAAAACGTCTATTATTGATTTTACCGTCACAATGCGGGGTCTTGAAGATCAACTATTAGGACGAGTAATTCTCATGGAGAAGTCAGATTTGGAGGCAGAGCGTGTAGCACTTTTCGAAACAGTCATGACAAACCAACGCAAAATGAAGGAATTAGAGGCGAATCTATTATATCGCCTAAGTTCCTCCCAGGGCTCGTTGGTTGACGATGAGGCCCTCATTGAGGTACTGCGTGTGACGAAAACGACGTCTGAAGAGGTCAATCAGAAGTTAAAGATTTCCGAAGTGACAGAGCGTAAGATAATGAAGGCACGCGAGGAGTTCCGCGCAGTGGCCGCACGTGGTTCTGTACTTTATTTCTTGATTGTCGAAATGAGTAACGTGAACGTTATGTATCAGAATTCACTGAAACAATTTCTGGTAATCTTCAATAACTCCATTACAAAGTCAACCAAATCAAACGTGACCGAGGAGCGCATACTAATTATTCTGCGTTATCTGACCTATGAGGTCTACAAGTTCACCAATCGAAGCTTATATGAGCGGCACAAGCAGCTGTTCACTCTGATGCTGGCCATAAAAATAGACTACCATAACGGTAATGTGACACACGAGGAGTTCATGTCATTTGTCAAGGGCGGTGCTTCACTGGATTTGAATGCTGTAACTCCGAAACCGTTTCGCTGGATCTTAGACATCACCTGGCTGAATTTGGTGGAAATCAGCAAATTGGAAACATTCTCAAATGTGTTGTCACTGGTGAGTCGAATAAGCTCTGCAATGCATAGATCGTAGATACATTCTGAAATTTGTACAGATCGAAGCAAATGAAAAGGACTGGCGCTTTTGGTACGAAGCCGAAAAACCGGAAAACGAGGAAATACCATGCGGCTATCAGGATTCTCTGGACGGCTTCCGAAAGCTGTTGCTAGTGCGTTCATGGTGTCCGGACCGTACAATTGCACAGGCTAAGAAGTACATAGAGGGTACGTATGTTCACATACTATAGGGTGCATCACCAAAAAAAGGTTGCCGTTTTTCTAGCGGAACTATAAAATTTATTATATCTATGTTAAAACTTCCGGCGAAATATTTCAGAAAAATATTAAGATTTACGTGAGCTATACCGTCTTGAAAGTAGCTCAAAAACTCATTATTTTGATTCCGTTGATACAATTTTTAAACATTTTATGCAGACGTTTTAAGCTTGAACTCTTATATTATCTGAGTTGATTATTAAAAAAAAAAAAAATTTAAAGTAGTTTTAACCATGTAAAACTCAAAACTTAAAATGGGTCCAGCTGACGTAAGTCGTAATATTTTTCCCCAACATTTTGGCGGAAGTCTTTAAATATATAAAATGGTATATTTCCAATGGAAAAACAGTACTGAAATTTTTATCGTATGAAGAGTGATGCACTCTAATACACAAGTATAGTATATGGGTGGAGTGGACCTGTGTAACGAACAATGCGCGCGAATCTATCTATATATGTATGTTATATTAATTAAGATTGTTTTTCTGAAATTTAATCCTTGCAGAGTCTCTAGGCCCGGAATACAGCGAGATGCAGATATTGGACCTCGAAGTTACTTGGGGAGAATCAGAGCCCCGCACGCCATTCGTTTGCCTGCTATCAATTGGTTCAGACCCCACCACACAAATCGCAGCTCTGGCTAAGCAAAAGGGCATACGTAAGCGCACAACAGTTTCATTTCATTGAACTCACTTTCACACTGCCACACACACTCACACATAACACTCACTCTCAGCCACATGAGCGCAAAAAATACTAACTTAAAGGATATTCTCATTTTTGGCTGCTTTAGCTTTGAAATCGGTATCCATGGGCCAGGGCCAGGAATGCCATGCACGCAAAATGATAATGGACTCAATGTCCGGCGGTGGCTGGGTGTTGTTGCAGAATGTTCATCTCTCATTGCCGTTCTGTTCGGAGGTCATTGATATGCTGGTGGAGACGGAACACATCGACGATACGTTCCGCATGTGGGTGACCACTGAACCACATGCAGATTTTCCAATAGGCTTACTCCAAATGGCCATTAAATTCACCAATGAGCCGCCGCAGGGCATACGCGCCAGTCTAAAGCGCAGCTACCAGGTGAGCTGTATTCGTTGTTTGCATGTCTTTAATTGCTGACGATGTATTGTTTTGCTTTGCCGCCACCCACAACAGGCTTTCACGCAAGACTTCCTCGACTACACCGCCGCGTCGCAATGGCCACCACTGCTGTACACAGTGGCATTTCTGCACACCATCGTGCAGGAGCGTAGGAAGTTCGGGCCGCTGGGTTGGAACATACCGTATGAGTTTAATCAGGCGGACTTTGCGGCGAGCGTGCAATTCATACAGAATCACTTGGACGAAATGGATCCGAAGAAGGGAGTCTCATGGCAGACGCTGGTCTACATGATTGGAGAGGTGCAGTACGGTGGTCGCGTGACTGATGATTTTGATAAGAGACTGTTGACCACATTCACGGCGGTGTGGTTTTGTGAGGGACTCTTGAGCAACTCATTCGAATTCCACAAAGGATACAAAGTGCCGAATACGAAGAGTTTGCAAGGCTTTGTCGACTACATAAACAGTTTGCCAGCTTATGACACGCCAGAAGTTTTCGGCTTGCATTCCAATGCTGACATCACGTATCAAATTAATTCGGCTAAAGGTAAATGCCTTCTTTTATTGATGCCAGCACAATTGCATAAGATTGTGAGATGAGTTGGTTATGAGAGGATAAAGGACACAGGTGGGCTCATTCGTTAGGACATAGTACATACTTGTTGGTATTTATGTGAGTTAAGATGTGCGCTTTGGTTTATTTAGTGTTAATTGAAATGTGAAGAATTGCTGAGTTAACTAAAATAATATTCGTTGCGTGGAAGAGTAATAAGGTAGAAGAAAGTAGAAGAAGAAAGCAATGTCTCAACTCATCCATTCATAAATGTGCTAAACATTTTATACTCAAACTATGTTTGTATGTATTTGGAATATATCAGCGAACATCCAATGAATTAACCTATTTAACCTATTGTAACAATATGAAACTTAGCTGTGTACTTACATATACATATACATATGTAGCTATTTATGTGCCTGCTTCAAACCCAAAACCCGACCTTTATTTGTCTGTAAATATTTTTCGTTACGGCAAAAAATTAATAATTTTCCACTCACGCAAAGGTATTTTGGACACTATATTGAGCGTACAACCGAAGGAGGGTGGTGGTGGTGGTGGAGAGTCACGCGAAAGCATCGTCTATCAGCTGGCGGACGACATGCTGCGCAAGCTTCCGTCACAGTATAATGCTTACGAGGTGCGTGAGAACCTGATGCGCATGGGAATTCTCCTGCCGATGAACATCTTTCTCAGGTAATTGTGCCACGTTTCACACCGGAAGCCTGTTGCTGGATTACTCTTACATTTTTTGTATATTAATAATTACCTATTGAATATCATTTGTTGTTGTTGAGAATCGGTATTCTCCGACTTTTTCTTTTTTTCGTTTTTTTTTTTTTTTAAATTAACCAATCTGCAGGCAAGAGATTGATCGCATGCAGAAAGTGATTAAGAAGGTGTACACATGCTTGTGCGACTTGAAATTGGCAATTGATGGCACCATTGTGATGAGTCCAGCATTGAAGGAGTCCTTGGATGCCATGTATGATGCACGCATACCGGAGTCGTGGATGAAGGTTGGTACATGCGTATGTATATATGTACATTCAAACGAATCTAGTAAAAGGTATTTATATACTCTGCCTAGTAGGGAGAGGGCATGGCTGGGCATGAATGAAGGCGTAGGCGATAATGAATTTACGTCAAAAGTGCGAAAGTTCTTTATTGAAGTGAGATGTGTGATTTTGCGTGTGATGTCTGAGCCAGAGCTTAGGTTGCACTTCATCAGCTTACTTAGGCGAATGTCGGAAGATGTTTGTAGGGCACATACTATATACATATGTATGTATGTAAGCATTTCTATAAATTTTTTCGTATTTTTTTGTGCATTCTCAAACGCGATATAGCAGAAAATAGTGATAATTCCTTCGAAGCCAACTGCGTCAGACAAGTCCTTACGCAGTTAGTTGAAGCACAAAAGTGATTTTTAGTTGACTGTCAAATGCATTCGGCGCTCGACAAATTCACATGAATATACATACTCGTATGTTTAATGTCGATATGAACATATACATACGTACATTGGAGTGGTTAAAAAACCGCTCTTTTTGAAAATTCATAAACGCAACATCAAAATATTGTTATTTGTGATAAAAAAAAGAGAAATTACATATCTGTCTTGAATAGTTAAATAAGCCTAGTGCCCGAAAATATGTTTCGAAAAGAGACTACTAAAATCACAACGTTAATACGGAACGTTTTAAGCATTGTCATGGAATAAAACTCGTTACCAGGGGATTTCTGGGATCTCTGATTACGCATATGATGTCAGTTTTTCAAAATCCAAAATGGCGGATCCAATATGGCGATCAACTTAAAAAAATGATTGGATTGGTTTGAAACTCACATTCGTAATTAGAAAACCAATGGTAATGAGTTTCGACCCATGACAATGCTTAAAACGTTCAGTATCAACGTTTCAATTCGAGTAGCTTTTTTATAAGAATTTGATAGACATATTGGATCTGCCATTTTGAATTTTAAAAATTGATTTGAGATTCGTCATCAGCGATCCCAAAAATCCAAACATAAAAAAAATGTATCGCCATTTTGGATTCGCCATTTAGAATTTTGAATAACTGACTTCAGATTTCTAATTAGAAGCCCCAAAAACCCTCTGATAACAAGTTCCAACCCATGAACATGCGTAAATCGTTCAGCAACAACGTACTAATTTTGGTAGTCTCCTTTCGAAAGCATATTTTCGGACACTTGCCTCATTTTAACTGTCCAAGACAGGTATGTATGTATTTAAGAGAATGTTCCCCAATAATAGCAGAGTGATTATATGTTAAAACAACATTTTTAGCTGCAAGCCAGGAAAGTAAAAAAATTGGGAACATCAGCGTTTTTATAAAAACCGACCAGCGCGACCTCTAAAAAACGTTTTTTTTTAAACGTTCCTCTTTTTTTTTATCCCAAATCTCAATAATTTGAAGTAGCGTTAATGAATTAAAAAAAAAAAATTTTTTTTAACCACTCTAATGTACATGCGTTGGAGTGTATGTATATGTGTACATACGGAGTGATATAAAAGGTTAGCAAAATTTCAGCTAGCAATGCATTCGTACTTTTTTTTTGTTTTTTTTACAGATGGATGGGATTTAATGCAAAAAACGAAGCTCAGTACATTTATCTTTAGTATAGAGGTTTATATAGAAAATGAGTTATATGTATTTTGGAATGTTAGTGTATTTTTCTTTTAATTTTTTTAATAATCCTTATTTCATCTTAAATTAAAATGATTACCTTCTCGTTTAAGATATGTTAAAAATTTTAATTCCAACATTAAGCATTTACTTATGGATATTATAACTCACAGATATCTTGGGAATCTACAACTCTGGGCTTTTGGTACACTGAGCTACTCGAACGAAATGCACAATTCCGAACTTGGATATCTACGGACCGACCCAAGGTGAGTTAGTGCTTATTGAAGCTATAAAAAACGCAAAGAATCTCATAAAATTAGATGTAAGTTAAAAGGAAAAATCTTGAAAAATTACCTTTATTTTGAATACCCCTTTAAAACTATAAATCGAGGGCTTATATTCAATACTCTCTTCAGCACTGTTGCGTAAAGAAAATTTTGCACATGTACTTCTCAATTGTCGTGTAGTAAAAGTTTTTAAAGTTATAATTTGATGGAAAATCAAAGTAGTCTGATGCATTCTTGCGGAGTTTTTAGCGGACTCTGCATGACTTACTGCCAATTTCATGAAAGCAAGTTAAGTAAAGAATTATTTAAATTTTTTGAATTTTTTATGAAAATTGACAGAAAATAAGAAATCATTTTACATTTAAAATGCAGCGGTTACAATCATGCCGAAGTAATAAAGGATTATTACCATTGGCCACTGTGCCTACCCAACATTTTTTGTTTAAATATACATATTTTTTTATATATAAACACATGCAAACATCCTGGGCCAATTCCTGTTCTGTGAAAACGTGAAGTGAAAAAATAGTTCATCACTTTACATAAAATTACGATTCTATTTTCAAATGTAAATTAATCAATTTGTCAAAAATTATTCCCTGTGAAAACTTTTTTTCACAATGTTTTGTGGCTGTGAAAAAGAAAAGTTGGGTGCCTTTCTCAAAACTATCATCTTGTTATGAGGATTATCATTGTCATAAACTCACAATAATTTATTAAATAATTACTGGTTAGATGATGATGGAATAGCTTTTAATGATCGAGAATCGCTTAAAATGATATAGCGAAATGATAAAGTAAAAGAATTAAATTTTCTCTGACCTTGAATTTTCCATTTTCACTTCACTGTTTCATAGAACCAGAATGGGCCCCAGCTTAAATTTTTTTTTTAAGAAATGGTAGTTGACTTTTAGGTGTTTACCTTTCTTTTACGAATAAATCACTACGTGTCGCGACGGTCTTCACCATCCCATGTACATATGTATGTGGCCCAGCAAATAAAAAGTTCTAGCGATGTGTATCCTATCGAGCACACTAAAATGTTTCAACATCTTTTAAAAGGCCATTGTTAGAGGCACCCTAATGAAAAATATACGAGTATTAAAGTCTCGTTCATTAGTTATTAACGAGAAATCATTAATTGTTTTGTGACGTCATATCTTTTCTCCTCTTCCTCTGCCGTTTAATACGTGGATGATGCAATTGCTGCGCTCGCCGTTGGATGACTGCTGGCGCTATCTGCCCGCGGCCTTTGCCACCACCGCTCTCTATCTGGCTGATTGCACACGAATTCAATTTGCGCATTAACGAAATGTGAATATGTTTCGAAAGGTCTTTTGGATGACGGGATTCTTTAATCCTCAAGGATTTTTAACTGCTATGCGTCAAGTAAGTCTCTTGGCGTGCCTTTCAACGATATAATATAATTTAAATGTATATGTGGGGGTGTATGTTGTGATTTTAGCGATTCGCTCTCACCGCAATTTTTAATTCAAAAACAGCTATGTGAGAGGGTGTGGGTGTGAATTGAGTTGCAGATTGCTGGGCTTATTCAAATTGGCCAAGAATGTCTTATTCAGCTTTAATATTTCGAGTTGAGCAGATTCGAAAGAATACAATGAGTTTTTTTAAATTTGAACATATTTACATACATATGTATGTACATATGTATATAGTTTTTGTTCAGATGTAGAATTCCTTTTGACCAAAGATAATCAAAACTGGTAATAGTTTCGCTGTGTAAACTCCCACTGAAGTTTATGTAATCTAACTCAAACAAGTTCTTACCAATTAATTTTCAAAGTAGGAAGTGGTTTCTGTTATTATTATTGTGGTTGGTTATTTTCTCTTATTTTTATTTCTATTTGACAACAACTTTTAACAGGAAAACTTTTTTTTTTTTGTATTTATGTACGAATATAATATCCATTCCATCCGTTGTGATGTTTGTGGTAAAATGAAAGAATGGGAATGCGTTCAGAAAGCATACATTCAGAATATAAAATTCCAATACTATAGGCCATGACGCGCATAATAAGGATATTTGCTACATTTTCATAATATTTGTGAGTTTCATAGCCTGTGCATACTTCTGTTGCTACAATATTCCCGCAGTAGGAGATGCGAGAGAAGCGAAACTAAATACAATAACTGAATTTTTGCGCTTTTGAAATAATAAAAGTTTGAATGTGGGCTCTCAGGTGATGTGGAAAAGAAAGGAAAGCTGACGTTCCTGGTGGTAGCATCGATGAAGACGCCCTCGGCGCGTTCATGGCCGCGTTGCACAGTGATCCTGAATGGGTACAATGAGTATAAAATAAATATTGAAACGAAGTTGTCTAAACTTCAATCATGTGAATAATCAACTCATTATTTTGAAAGATATTTGAATTTTTCATATAAGGTTAAATTGCAAATACCTAGGGAGCGTCGCACAATGGAAGAGCTACATTTAACATGTGGCAAAAAGTAGTAAATGTGGTCTGAAAATTGTTACGTGGAGTACTTTTGCCTAGGAATGAATAAATATGAAAAATGGTTGAATTTAGCGGACTGCGGTAAATTTTATCTGATTTCTAAGTATGAAATTCGATTTGTAACTTAGATTAACCTAGAAGCATATAAATCTGAAAGATGCGAAAAATCGGTCAACTTTAACGCCCACCAGTCATCCGAAATCTGGATTCTAATTTGGCAAAGACACTTTGGTGCAAGATCTATTTTTAAGATATATAACAAATTGCATGTATTGGTGACCAGCCACGCCCCCTCCCTTAATACTAGTGGGCGGAAATGGGAAGTGTTATCCGATTTCAGTGAAATTCGGGTTTTAAAGTACAAATCGATTTTAATGAAATCATGTAGTATTTCCCATTCCCGTCCACTAGTGTCGGGGAGGCAGGACGTGGCTGGTAGCTAATTCACACTTGTTGTTATTTTTCTGGATTTTTATGCAAAAATACATCTTGCACCATATTCCTGCTATTTTGGAGGATCATTACTAGTCCTTGCCAGATTAGAACACAAAATTCGGATAGCTGGTGGGCGTGGAAGTTGACCGATTTTTGCTGTCTTCCTAGCATAATCCAAGTTACAAACCGAATTTCATTGGGATCGTATAATATTTACCATATCCGCCCCTAGTGTTGTGGGCGTGGCAGTCCTCCAATTTTGACCAGTTTTCATAAATTTTCTTTCCTTTGTAAAAGTGATTCAAATACCAAATTTTAATAAAATCGAAATACATTGGTAGTCAAGTTCCTGCAATTTTTAAGGAGATCTGTCAGTGTTAAGCGTTCAGTCTATGGAAGATTGACGACATGGGCGCAAGCGGACACAATTGAAATTTGTCTTGCTATTAGTTTAAAGTGTACAAAGTATTTTTGTACCAATCACTCTACACCGCCAGGCGCCGCAAGGGCAAAAGTGAATAATCTCTCGGAAATGTCCTTAACTCTGAAAGGATTAGGTTAAATTATGAGGCCATGATTTGGAGCGACCCTTGCATACTATTGAAATTGATATTGAAGATGAAGACAAATCCTGTTTCAATCAATCATTCAACTACCGTTTCTGAGCCGGTGAAAAGCGTATTAAAATTCCTACATAAAAATTTAATTCATACAACATCGACTTCCTTTGTCCTTTGATAATTGCTAGAGTAGTTTTTCTCTGAATAAATCTTTAAAACCCGTTAGTAGACATGTTTAGAATCGAGTCAACCACTTATTTGGATATTTCCACACATATCGAAATTAGGACTTTCTGCCACTCTCAGACCACTGTGCGTCGTTGTATTTAAATATCGTCGCCTGTGAGTGTAAACCTGCTAAGTAATTCCAAAGACAAAAAACTATAAATATTCTTCTTTGCTTACATAAAATAATAGTTGCTGTATAAATAAATTAAGAATATGAGTAGTTTTGTCTGCCCTTTAAAGTGTCTTTGGGCCATTCTATGCAAAAGAGGAAAACAACATAAATTTGAAAATGCCCTATATATCTCTATTTCGGTGGCAACCACTTTTTAAATGACTAACAGCTCAACCTAATATTACCTACGTGAGTTTTTCTACGCACACACCCTAGGATAAACCGAAATAAATTTTCGCGCGTGCTTCCTCAGAGTTGCATTTCTATGAAATTTAAAACGTTTCTTGCATACAATTTTAATCCATGGTCGTGCCAAAATTGTCAAATGAGTATAAACGTCAAATCGAAATGTCACGCAAGACAAACCTTCGAATTTGAGTTAGCTTCTTACACACGTCGTTCAATTCCGGTTGGTCCCATTCAAGTTGTATATGGATGAGAAAGTTTTGACAGTAAATTGCCGGCGTGCGTGAATATTAGGTTGGCCTGTAAGTTTCAGTCACTACTTTAAACTCTTTTTTAATATTTTTATTAAGATTATATCAGCCTATTCATTGAAAACGAAAGTATAGTAATATTAATATTTTGCACCACAAAAAACATCTTTCTTAAAATTAAGTGTTTTGAATAAAATACATCCTTAAGTACACAAAGGTAAAATAGAGTTCTTTTCAGTGTCCCACCAGTCAACTTCATTGGGGCAAGCCAGACGATTTATCTGTCCTTGAAATGAATCTTCAAAGAAACTACTTAATTAAGGCAGAGACGACCTCAAAACTCTTACTTAAAAGTTAAAATTGAGCTTTCAGAAATAAATGTTTACCGCTTTTTGCGAGGAGACGCCAAAGCATATTCTCAGTGAATGTGACACTTTCGCTGGGCGCAGATTAACTCTTTTAGATGGTGCTACACTTAATACACGCTAGAGATCCCGGGGCTTATGGCCCTTAATAATAAATGATGATAAAAAAGAGCGATTTATTGCGGAATCTTTGCTTCCCGTTCCTCTCTCGTTTCAAGAACTTCGCTCGAGTGAAAACAAAAATTTTGTGCTTTTCTTCTTCAGTATAAGGTGAGTCGTCTGTCGTGTGACCATCATTTTTATATAACAAAATTTTCGGAAGAGATTGACGAAAAAACATCGAGAAGATCCCAAACCTCACTCTCTTGTGTTCATCTTTGAAAACAGTCTTAGAGCTGATATTCACAACCTGTTGGTCATACATACACAAATAAACAGAAATTTATATATACATACAAGTAATTTTTAAGCAAAAAACCAAACCGACTTCAATTCTCATATAAAAGTACCGTTAATTTCTTCATGATCCAAAGATCGGATCTAAATTAGTATGGGACAACCTCTGAGGTACCTCCTTTCCTTAACAAAAAAAAATTATAGAAATCGGTAAACGTGGTCCAAAGTGATGCGGTAACATAGATAAAAAAATAAATATATTCCGACGAACTGATAACCTCCTCCTTTTTTGAATTTGGTTAATAAAAATAAATTTTTGTTCAATCGAATAAGGAATTAAAATTAGATTTGTGTGTACTTCTGATTCGGGATTGTAACATTGTGCCCGGCGACAAACATTCGCATATTCGTGTGCTCATTCATACATACATATGTATGTAAATGCTGGTGTATGCGCCATGTAAGAAACGCACTTATGGTTCTCCTGTGGGAACGGCTAGGGTTGATTATAATGTTGATGATGCCATATCTATGTGATTAAATTACTAAATACAACTGTAGTGGACTTAGGGCATCTAACGTGTGGAATACGTCTGGGCATGCGTAGGTGTGATTTTGTGCTTGTGTGTGTTAAAGATGGGCGCTGGACTAAATATTCAATCCCGATCTCGCCCATCACGATATTCAAGTTTTAGGTATCGATCCCGCCCATCTTGAAAGTTTTTCAAAATTTGAAACGCGGGTTTATGCAGGTCTATTCTGCGCTGGTAATAACAATTTCGTAACCTTTTCGCATTCTATGTACTCTTGTAACCGGTAAATTTTGTTACCATCTCTTAAGCTGGTAACAAAGTATTGCCGCGTGAAATATGTAATGCCAGAATTTCCAAAATTCTTCATAGCTGAATTGCTGAATATTTACCTAGAACCACGGTGAAACGAACTGGAAGCATTTTTTGGTAACTGTTTGGTAACTTTCTGAATGCCGGGAAAGGCCTTTTGTCCCGACCTGATCGCAATTTTTTAAAGATTCCCGACACCGACCATTCTCAGCATTGCGCAACCAACCGGATATCCCGCGCCCATCTCCAGTGTGCGTGCTATGCTCTCTTTTTTTGTGGCGTTGCTATTTAGTAGTATTTATAACTGTTTATTATTTCAAAACATTTCTAATTCAATTTTGTTACTGTTTCATTTCAATTACGATGACTGTTTGCCCGACTGCGCTGTTATCACAAACATATGAACATTACCGGTACTTTTATGTGCGTTTATTAACATACGCATGTGTTTGTGTCGTGGCTATAAAAAAAATAAAAAAATCAAATCAAATACGCACAAATGGAAAACTAACCTCCGCTGCCTGGCTGGCGTTCGCGTGGGATTTCAGGAAGTCACACGCGCTCATAAAGGTTGGGCCCTGGACTCCGTGGTGTTGCAAAATCAAATCACTCGCTACAACAAGGAAGACATCTCCGAATACCCCACCGAAGGTGTCTACGTGCATGGCCTGTTCCTGGAAGGTGAGTCAAGTTATTCGAGTGTATTAGCTATGGCATGCCCCACTTGAATGGATGTGACCTCTCAACTCATATGTATGTATGTATATGTAATAAGCTAGTGTTGCTTTCTTGCTTGTTTTCCACTTTTGCTCGCTTCATCTGTTTCATGTTTTACTTTGAATTGTTTGTATACTTTTACCTATAGTTGTATATGTATATATTTTTCTATCCACACTGTCCTTTCGAACTGCCATAAATTTAAATGTGTATACCCTTACTGATACATACATACGTACTACATATTTACATACGCAAATAAAAACGGGTAGATGCCTTCGTTACCCTTTAGTCAAGTGGCTTGAATATTTGAACCTCAGTGCCAAATTTTTGAATTTTTCGGTAGCAGATCTCATTAAGACATCCCTACAAGCTTTCAAATTGTGTGGGACTAATAATTCTTATTTTATTTTTGTAAAGTAGCCTAATTTCGTTAAATTACCTGTTACGTGTTTTTACTTAAGCATGCAAGTATCGCTGCAATGAAGGCTTTCACACAATGTCCCCACCTCCACTTTGATCTCGAGCGTTTTTACTTGCTTTGAATGGCTTAAACCATTTTTTGCTATTTAGTAGTTTTTATTACTTTGTGGTTAATGGTAAAATCCCTGCTCGAATGAATGGCATATTTAGAGCCTATAAAAACACATTTCAACAAGCACGCATACGTTAATGTACATTTTTATGTATGTATATTAGGGTGGTCAAGAAAAAAGTAAAGTCGTTATATTAATGCTCTCATCCCTTAAGATGATTGTTCAAAAAATATATATAGTGGTCGCGCAAAGCGCTTAAAGTTTTCCATGTATTTTAGATGGGAAAACAATTTTCGTAGAGGTGGCATGAAATTCCTGAAAATCAATATTTTTCGATCGGAACACTTTGTTTCTCCTTAAGGAGATTTCCAATAACAATACCCAATTGTTTATTTAACCATTTTCTATTATAAGCTATTTTTTACAGGACCCCTACAAACCCTAAATGGAACAATCCTAAGGGGTGAGAGCATTAAAATTCCGACTTTACCTTTTCACATGCATTTTTTTGAACAACCCTAATGTATATACATATATATCGAGGGCCCTCCAAATGATTTTCTCTTCTACCGAAACGCGTGTTTTTTTTATTGTTATTTACTACATTTCTAATAACGTGTTATCCATTTCGCGTCATTCCACAATAAATAGTAATGTGTTTCCACCGACCAATGCGTTAAAATTATTATAATATTATTCTACCAAAATGCGAAATCTTCAGTGGCCGCATATCGTGCACTACATGGAGTTTATGGTCAATCACCAATAAATAAATAATTATTTGGCGCTCACCTCTTTCCTAGGATGTACCTTCTTTTTACGCCACCTCTGGAGAGCAAATGGTTTTTATGGCAGGCGTAAAAGCATGCTCAGAGATTTTGCCAAAAATTCCAAAAAAATCTACTATATTTTTTCAAAATCCGGTGCGAAATATTTTCGGCACAGTGAAAAAAGACGCCTGTCAAAGCGCAGTCCTCATCGCGAATTTCTGTTTTCTTAAGTCTGACTAAGTCTAAGGTGACTTAGCATGGTATAGTTTGGAGGCGTCGATGTGTGCATTAATAGCATAGGAAAAAACTGTTTCAATTTTCAAATATCGTCAATCGTTTTTAGCTCAACGTATCGGAGTGAGGAGCATATACGTATTTTCGAAGGAAATTGAAGGCCGTAAAAAATCTCTTAAGATTTTCCCATAAATTAACTACTATAAATAAAAGTTATTCAAGGTTAAAGTCAAAATTTTTTATATGTGGAGAAAACTGCCCAAAACACAGTCCACAAGAAAAAAAAAATGCCGAATATCAACCGTACTTTGTTGTACTAGTATTCTTATAATGGGCTATAAAGCTGCGGAGACAAATAAAGTGCTAAATTTTTACGAAAAACCCAAATGTTACAACTTAGATCAACATTTTGGTTTTGTAATGCAAAGCTCAGTTCGGTCATTCTCACGTTTATCACACGCCCCGGAATCAATGACATACATACATACAAGTAATGATATAAGCTCGGTTCTTGTAGAAAAAAAGTGCGTATACAAGTGAAGCTGGTTGTCCATAGAAATAATAAATTGAAAAGATATTGATATAAAAGAGAACATATAATTCGACATATTTATGTATGCATACTAGTATGTACTTAGGCGGGTTAACGATCATGAATTTATACCAAAAATTTGCCAGTCGATCCATTTTACCTAACTTTATTTTAAACGAGCTTACAGTTATGTATATATAGTATATATAGCACATATATACATATGTATGGATAAATAAGAAAATGTTGCCAATGTTTCGAAATGAAAACATTATTAATGCCTGTCACTTTGTCATTCCACTCTTCCGCTGCCGACTGCAGGTATATAGAAATGTTTCATTGGTCAATCGCACAAACTATATTTCAAATAAATGTCTGCTTCATTTCTTACCTATGTACATATGTACATACATACTTAGCAGGTTAAATATGTAAATTCGATTATAGTGGAAAAGGATGTTTAACCCGCTTTGAGCGGAGTAACTATTCGCTTTAGTCCTCTGTGACTTGAATTTTGTATTAGCTGAGGAAGAGAATTCTTACTTTTTAGAGAATGCTGTTATTCTTACGCATACAACAGGCATACAACTAATACATACAAACTATGGGGATAAACGCACACTTTAAAATGACTAAACCACGTGCCAATGGCACTATTCAAAATGCTATCAAGATGTGGGAGCTTTTGCCCATTAATGTCAAAGTATATTACACTTCGGTTTGCGCTGATTTACATCGTGAATCCATTTAATTTTTTTAGGGTTTTTCTCTCCCTGGTAATTTTGTTATAGACAGTGCATTAGTATATGTCCATTAAGACGTATCACTATATATGAATGAAAAAAAAGTTGAGCGTGATTTAGTTTTATTTAAACTCTTATGTTGAGAAAATATTTTGGGCGTAAATTTTTTTTCGGCAGCCGCTAAAAACTGCTTAGTCGCGTTTTTTGCTGTAACGACCCCAAAAACGTCTCGCTCAGTTTTGACCTTAAAACCCGTTGTCGTGTAGTGGTTAGCAGTGCGCGCTGCCATTCCGTAGGGCCTGGGTCCAAGCCCGGATCAACCCAATAAAAAAAAAAAAAACAATAATCGCGGTCGCGCCTCGACAGGCAATGGCAAGCCTCCGAGTGTCTTCTACCAGAAATTTAAGCCGGATGAAAAATTTGGTCGGTTCGATTCAGCGGTTCGAACCGTTTTTGCACTTTTGGACTGGTTCGTCAAAGTGATTTTTTTGGCCTTTGAACCGGGATTTCGTTCGGTTCAATGGTTCGGATATCAAAAAAATAAAAATTAACACGCAAATTTAAGTGTCAAGTGTCTGTCAAATGCGATGGGTTGCCTGTACATTTGATATTAGCATTTGACATGGCATGTATTTAACAAAAAGAAAAAGGTGGGTAAATTTATATATTGAAAATTGGTTGGAGCGGGTTTTCGGCTCGGATCAAACATTTGTAGAAAATTTCGGTTCAGTTAATTAATAGAAAAAAGCGGTTTTCCGGTTCAAACCCGGTTCTTTGTGACCAAAACCCTTTAGGCGCCAATTATGGTCCTGAGCAAAGCCTTTTCGGCGACACAAAGATTTAAAAAATCGGACATAAAATAACAAAGTTACCGAAAACGCGATTTAACTGTTTTAGCGGATGCCTAAAAAATTTTTACGCCCAAAATTTTCTTTCGAAATATGTGAGTGTTCAAATTAAAGTGACGCGCCCTAAACTTTTTTCGCGATACGCCTTGATGTCCATAAGTATGTAGTATTTCCATATCGACAAACATACGTATGTATGTATAAAAGCACGGTCAAGCTACATATGTATGTATGCATATGAAATAATCCACTGGCCAAAAAGGTTGTGGCTGACCAGCGATGGGGTAAACTGTCAAAACATAAACTCACATCCAAGCTAAAATTCAATAACCACCAGCACACATTTAATGAAAATTTACCCTGCAAGATTTGCTGCCGTAATTGATGTTTACCTTGGCAATATGTATGTATGTATGTATATGTACGTTGCGTGTATGGCGTACATATGTTTGTATATACATACTTACATGGTAGGTCCTTCAAGGCTTATCTAGAAAAGTAAATAATTTGAATAACGCATTTGTATCAAACTATTAAATATCAAACAAAGTTTAAAAGGTGCTTTATACCTGAAATAATGTAGCTTAAGTTTTCATGTTGGGTCAGTTAAGTTTTTGGAAATTTAAAAATAAATAGATATTTGGAACGCACACTTTTGCTAAGCGTTCGGCCAAGGTTCTCCTAAAATTTGTAGTGTGCGCCCTAATGTTATAAAAAACGATTTTATGAGAAGCTTTTTCAAAGCGGAAATGCACTCCGAAAGTTTGGCATTGCCTGTTGAGGGGTGTGCGCTCTCACAAAACACTTTTTCTGAATTTAGATGTTGCTTGGACCAAAGATTGAAACCAGTGCCTGCAGTGTGGTACGTATCTCTAACCACTCGGCCTTGGCGACCGTTTAATGAAATACATACCCAAAACATTTAAAATTTGCCCTAATGTACTCAAAGTATCGCTCGATTGCTGCAAGAACGTCATAGCCCAAAAAATGTTCGAGTTAAGTATTTAGAAATGGAATCCAGCCCTTCTTTTATGTTACTTAAAAATTCAAAACTATGTATGATTATTTTAAACGTGGCTCATAAAAAGGGGACTTATCTTGCTCGCAACTCGAATTTCCTCCTCTTTGCTTAGTAATTTATATTTAGAAAACAATCCCTCTTTGTCCAAAGTATGGAAGCGAATTAAGGTTTGATTACAGTTCATTTCCCTGATTTTTTTTAAATTTATTGGTTGAAAGTAATTCATTCAGGTACCGTAATTATTATGTGCAAAATAATTTGAATCAGTATTTATGATTTTTATTGTGTTCGTTCAAAAATAATACTTATTCTTGAGGTTTAATCTTTCGCTGAAAAATAATAATTACTAATTGAAAATATAAAATTCAATAATATCACCTGCACACAAAAAAGTGGTGTTTGCTCTTAACCAGACCCATTTACCGACATGTATTTCCGAATCTGAAGTCCGTTTGTCTCGTATAACTCCAATATTTCGAGTAAATGGACTGGTGTAATTTTTGCGTTTTAGCGAATAAATAAAAATAAAGAAATAATAATTTATTTTGTGCGAAAAATAAAACTCATAATATTAATTATTATTTTAATTTTTAATTAGTATGGCTTTCTTCTAGAACACGAGCTAAGTACATATAAATACTTACATAGGTACATATGTTTAATTGCCTCTTTCATCCGTTCGGTGATTCGTCTCTTTCTAATTTACTTATTCTCAATTTTCCTTTTCAGGTGCTTCGCTAGATCGACGCAGCGGAAAATTAGTCGAGTCCAAAATGAAAGTGCTCTACGAACAAATGCCGGTTATTTACATCTATGCTATTAATACAACTGCAGGCAAGGACCCAAAACTCTACGAATGTCCTATCTATCGAAAACCGCAACGAACAGATGCCAAATACGTCGGTTCCATTGACTTTGAAACGGATTTCAATCCGAAGCATTGGACTTTGCGCGGCGTGGCGTTGCTATGTGACATCAAATAAACGAAACATTTCAAAGTTTTGGCGCTGGAAGAGAGGGCGTTCGCCGGGAACGGGATGGTAATGTTTACAGCCACGTGCTTCCTGTTTTCATTTCATTGTTTACGTGCGCATGCAATGTTTATGGTTTGTAAGTGTGGGTGGTCTTAAAAGACTTACATATATAAATGTAGTGGTATTTTGTTTATTTATTACCACAAATACATATGTATTAGAAAAGTAAGAATGACTAAAAGTATGTAATAGAAATTTTTATTTTTGACTTCTGTAAATTTATGCATCTACGTATGTAAGTACATTGAAAAGAGTTTTGTTGAATAAAAATGGTTTAGGAATGGAAAAGTGATTATTATATCAATACTAATATTTAATAGATTGGCGCTTATACAATTTGTTAGCGTTTGGCCGACCTACCTCTCCGATTTGTGACGGGCGCCTTGATGTTGTCACAGAACGGAGGTTTGCCATTAGCTACCGGGCAACCGCCATTAGAAATAATCTTTTATTTTATTTTATTTCGGTTTTGATTTCCGTCAGAAACTGGGCTCGATTCCAGGCTCTGTGTGATGGAAGTGCGCACTTTTAACCACTACACCATAGCGGCCGCCTAGGATTATTATACCGGGTCATATAAAAAGTCTCCGCAAATTTTTGACACGGTTGCCACTTGTTGAAAAAATAACCAACCAAAATCTTTAAAAAAAAAAACCAAACTGAAAAAAAACCAAATTTGTTTTCCACGGATCTATTACAAAAAGCAAAACTTATTGAAACAAACAAAAATTCAACAATTTTATTAAGCTTGACGGCGTTTTTTTTAATGAAAATTTTGGAGAAAAACAACATTAATTTACATTTTGGTAGAAGTTATAGCTGTTATTTCGGAAAACAAAAATTACTGAAATACTTGTGCGATGAATCACATATTTACATTTTATATGTGCATATAAAAAATGTTACTTTAAAAATAGGACTTTTAAAAATCCATTTATTAATTTTTGGCCTTCAGTATGCAATAACACTTTTTGCAAAGAAAAAAATTGCTAATTTCTAATTAAAAAAAAAAAAAACAACCAAATAACCAAATTATAAAAATAAAATAAAAATAACCAAGTTTGGTTGGAAACGACGAACACTGGCAACCGTGAATTTTTGGTAAATTGAAAAAATATATCTTTTTTGAATATTAACTTTAATCAAGTACTTATTGGCCATTATTTTCTGAGACCTTTTGCCATTTTTCGGGTAACTTCAAAATTCCATCGGTGTAGAACTTCACTGGCTTATCGGCAAACAAATTAGCCAAATGAATTTCAGTGGCTTTCGGTCGGCAAATTTTTTACCATAAAAAGAGTTTTGCAGGGACGGAAACAAATGTAGGTCAAGTTCCGATCAAAGATCATTGTCATGGTGGAACACAAATCTTTTCTGTTGATCAATTCTGGTCGCTGTTTTATGATTGCTTCTTTCGAGTTGTGCCTAGTAGAGCTCATCATGGACAATTTGCTTCCAATCCCACCAAACACTCACCACAACCCTGTTTGCCGTCAATCCAGGCTTTGGAGTCTTTTGTGGAGGGTCATCGGTATTTTACCAAGATCGCTTGCGTCACTTCTTCTGATATTCAATCCATCAGCGCCCGTAATGATTCGCCGCAGAAATGGTTCGATTTCATCGCCTTTTTTAGCAGTGTTTCACTGATAGCCAATCGAATTTCTTTGCGTTAATTCATGTGGCACCCAGGCAATGAGCTATTTTGAGTAGCCTACTCTTTTTAGTGGATTCAAAACGATCATGTGGATGATCTCAGTGCATTTGCTATGCTAGAGCCAGGTGCATCTTCGACGTCAAAATTTTCACAACGCAATCGAGCATAGCACTTCTGGGTCCGGCGTTCACTTACAACATTCTCACCGTACACTGTACAAATTTATTGGCATGTTCTTACAGCATTTTCACCTTTCCTTTTTAAGAAAAAACGCATCACCTGGCGTAAATATTTCTTCAGATATTTCACAAATTTTCAAATCAGTATCAGTATGAATAAGTGTTGCCAGATGTATGCGCATCAACAGCACATAGTTCCGATTCCATTATTGTGTATCAATCATCAAAATTTCTTGTCCATAAGTTAGTCTTTCCAACGAGATCCCATCTAATCTATCCAGATTATTAGAAGAAGTGATCATCACAATTATTAAGTGCTTTCTTTGACGCTGAAGACAGGGAGTCTTGCCTTCTTCTTTAGAGGTTTATGGACAACAATGCACCGCTCGTCTGACTGGAAAGTTCTCGCTTAATTCCGTAAATCTCATATTCTATTGAGTACTGAGGGCAAGAGAAGGAGAATTATATTGGGAAGATATTTATTAGATGCGTGAAGCACATATCTAAGTATGTAGAAATACGATTATTTTTCAAAAATTATATTTGTCCAAATAATGCAAAATCAAGTATGCATAAGTGAAAAGTAGGAGTTGCAGTGGCCAGATTAGCATAATCGAACTTAATAAAAAAAAGCCAACGCGTAATTCAGTTGGTAAGCATTTTATTATGATTTAAAATATTACATTTGATTTAGTTCAATATTTTATGCGTATAAGTATGTGTATATGTAAACAATAAATACATAATTACAATTCACATTATTGGAAGTTATGAAAAACTGGAGTTCATATTTACAGGTGTTGATTTCAAAGCCATTTCATTTTAGTTAGATATTTATGTAAATGTTCATCGCTTAAGCGTTTGCCTGTATAATTTTCTTATAAACATATGTATGTACATATGTATGTAGGTATTTCCAACAACATTGAGGCCAAACATCATAAATATGTAAGTATGTAGTTTGTATAAATAACACAAAACTAACAATTGTGTTGTCACTACCAGCCATATGAATACAACATTTCAACATTTTACTAATGATTTCTGGCATTCAATATTTTTTTAAATAATTTTTTATTTATTTTTTCCAATTAATTTCCTTAGCTATTAAGTATATAGTATATGTACATATGTATGTAGGCAACGTACAACATTTTATCGGACATAAATTTTACTATTTGTGGATTCTCTTAGTAACTTTTCTAAAATGCGTTTATTTAACCATGTTTTTTAAAATTAACATTTTTTCTCTTCACCTTTGTACTCTGAAATTTTTGAAGTGGAACAGTTGAACTGCAAAAGTACATATATGTATGTATGTGCATATGTCCTACAATTAAAGGGGATTAGCATCAGTTATACATAGGACGTTGTGTTTTAGGTGTAGCATTTAAGTTTTTTTTTGTTATAAGAGTTTCGTTTGTGTTTTATTTTATTTGGTGATACATACATTTTTTGGTAATGCCCAAAAAGCAAGCATAATAATATTTGTATAAAAGATTTACGTAAATTATACACAATTTTGAACCTTAAAATTACGAGCTGCCATCATAAGTATGTATTAAGTTTAATGTGTTAAAAATATTTCGTTTCGTTTGACATTTTAGTTGGATTTTGTGTTATTTTTAGAAAGTAGTATTTTGATTATCAAATATTAAATGTTTCATTTCATTTTGAAAATAACACCTTACGCCACTACTATTTAGTTGATTTATTTACTTTAAAGCAGGTTTTGTTCAGGGAAAATTAAAAAGTCGTGAGTGAAAATCGCTTCCGCCCGCGGAAACTGTGGAATTATGTAAATGCTGGCAATAAAAAACTCATTCTATTTAGTTTCCAATTTAACCAATTAATTATGTACAAGATTTTTGTGCTCTTAACCCTTAATCACTCACATGGGGTCAACCCAATTTCGTTCGTAAAAAAAAACACTCGCGTTGGTTGGTTTTTAGTTCCATATGCAATAGCGCGATTTAAGTATTTTAGGAATAAATATTTGTTTTAGTATTTGATTTCATAATATCGAAGCTTTGTATTCGGCCTAACAAGTTGGGGTCGCTGAAGACCCCATGCGACCAGTTGTGGGAGTCGTGCGAGTAATTAGGGGTTAAGCTAGCCTAGAACACTAAGTTTCCATGCATCCGACTCATGTATGGATGTACGGATACAGTCAAAACTCTAGAATCCGAACTAAAAATTGTAGACATGGTTCTGATTATCGAAACATTCCGACTATCGGTTTGTTTGAATATATAACGGCGCTGTAGCACGCCCAAATCCAAATGTCGTAGAACTGGAAAAATACATAAAATTTTTACCATACTCTTACTGAACTGCTTTTAATTTATAAATATAGAATGCTTTAAAAATAACTGAGACAAAAATCATTAAGTCCACGTAGTCATGTAAGAATATTTTTATGAATAAACTGAAGATTCCAGGGATTGTTTTGGGTAGTTTTTAAACCCAGTTTTGAAAATTATTCGGCCAGACGTACGGTCTGTGCTCGGCCACTTTATCTGTTTGTGGCATTTTCTTGACATTATTACATCGTGTAATTCTACGTTGGACTCCTCGGCCAAAATCGGTTAGGCGGTTACAGCGCCTACTCATCTATCAACTCGATTTTTGGATTATGGAGCAGTCGGATTAACCAGTTTTAACTGTATTTGTACGCGTCTTTACCTTGTTGATTCAGTTTTTCCCTTTTTTAAGTAATGGAAATGACTTGAAGAAATTCGATCTGCAGAATGAAATGAATATCTATACCTACATGCATACAAGTGTCTACAAATATTCAGACAAGTTTTTGCTCCTAATTCGCTGTTTTGTCATTGAAATGATGGGCAAGTCCTGCCATCGCGATTTTCTCGTTTGAGCTTCGAAAGTTGCTGATGCCTTTTACACCAAAGAACTTTTACTTTTGTAAGACATGAATTCTTGGATGCATCGTTTGTTCAGTGTATCGCTTCTACTGAGGCAGTGATCACTTTCACTTGCATCCAATTTAGTTTCTCCTTCCACTAAGCACATAAAAGCAAAAATAAAATTTTCTGTTTGTTTAGTGGGCAATGCGACCAGTGCACTTTTCTATATTTGCCTGGTCCTCTTCAACGTTCAATGTCTGCGTAGTTATATTTTCAAGGTATGTTCTATTAGTTTTTTCACTCAGTCATTCAAAATTATATTTATCAATTTATTTATTTTTAAATACATATTTACATGCACATATGTATGTATTTTTTTAA